TATGCAAGAGGAAGCTACGCAACTTGACACCTGTGCGAACAAGAACAATATGATTATGAACGGGGATAAGTCCTATGAGTTGAGACTGTGCTTTTAAAAAAATCCACCTGTTCCACCTCCCCTCACACTTGGAGGCAAAGAAGTCCCGGTTGTTGAATGTGCCACGTATCTGGGCTTCAAACGTCACCGCAGCCTTGGGTGGGACAGCCAAATCTTACACATGGCAAAGAAAGGCTCAACCCGTCTTCACTTTCTCCGTATGCTCAAGAAGGGCGGGATGCCACCAGAGGACCTGGAAACTGTGTATACGACTCTGATACGACCTGTGTTAGAGTATGCAAATGTCGTGTACGTGGGCTGTAACACAAAACAGAACAACACTCTTGAGGCTGTACAGAGAAGGGCGGCGAGAATCATCTACGGCAACAGTACTCAAACAACCCCCTTCTCCACCCTCCAGGACAGACGGGAAACTGCAGCAAAAACTCTGCTCAAGCAAATGCGGCATGTCAGCCACACTTTGCATTCTTTGATGCCCTGCGACAGACACCAGAGCACACGGCGGTCCCTGAGAAATGGAAACCACATCTCCGTTCCGAAGTTCAGAACTGAAAGACTGAGGAAATCTTTTCTGTTTCAGGCAATAAGCCTCAGCAATCAATAGTCCGCCACCTGAGCTACAAAATTTTAAATCTATTTAATTTTAATCGTCAATGTTGTGCTTTTTAATGTGTATCTCTTTTCAAGCTATTTTAACATGTAATCACTTGTGCAATTCAGCCAAGCAATGAATATTGGCTGCCAATCAATGTGAATAAAAAAACAGTTTCAGTTTTAGTTTTTCGAAAAGTTTCGAAATGTTTGTAATTGGCTAAATGATCTGTGAAATCACTAATCCCCCCTAGCCGACTGGAGCCCAAAAATAGAAAGGACAGGGGGCATCCCGTGGCGAATCTGGCTGCCCGACCCTCAGCGACCAGCGATAATGTAAACAAACACCTACACAAACGGCCGCGTGAGAAATCAACTCCAGTGCGCGGAACTTGCTCTCGAAAATGTATCAAGCCGCTACGCTTCCCCCCGCGGCTGCCATCCCTCCCCACTTATCCCACACTAGTTCAAATCACGTCAAAAAAAACCCATCAAAACATGCACAGAAGCGTGTTCATATCTTTCATGTTACGGTTAAAACTTAGAACCTCATTTTGAGCGAACGTTACAAACACGAGACAAAATAATATTTTCGAAAACAAATCGCAATCTTATCAGCGAGGTTTCATTGATTCCTGTTAGATTTAACCGGTACCAAACCGCGGCAGGCAGCTAAGAACAGCGACATATTTGCCACGGTTAGCACAAGTGGCGGTGATATATTTGGTAGACATGATGGTTTGTTAGATTTGACCGGTTCCGGCCGACAGTCGGCGCTTTCGTATACTAGTATTACAGATGCTCACGAGTTTGGTGAGAGTGTTTCTCAGATCCAGTGTAAAAACCGAAAGGGGCGAGCATGTCACAACCGGGAATCGAACCCGAGTTGTCCGCTTGGCGGTCACCAACGCTAACCATTACACTAAAAGGTCGCACGATCTTCCGAGTCCGACATCCCTGGAGCTGCCACACTTATCCTCAGTGCCAGTACTCACAGGGCCCACATCGGGCGCCACTGTAAAAACCGAAAGGGGCGAGCATGTCACAACCGGGAATCGAACCCGAGTTGTCCGCTTGGCGGTCACCAACGCTAACCATTACACTAAAAGGTCGCACGACCATTTCGCATGGTCAGTTAGCACTGTTACACCAGGTCGTGCCGCCATGTGTTTGTTTAGATATCAGTGTGAATAGCAGCCCTATCCCCCCAGCCGGTCCCACCAGGCACGATAATGAGACGTTGATTGACGGCACATGTGGTTCACATCTGAACAGTTTCAAAGAAAGAATTTATCGAGAATGCTGACACCCCTCTGTGTGAAAGGTCAGATCAGTGGTCGAGACCTCAATGGTCCTTATACATGCAAAGGTCAAAAGTTGAGGTCCACTTTCACACTGAAAGGGGTGTCCATACGCTGTGACAACGCATCATTTTCACGCACTAAAACACACATACTAAAAAACCAAAACAACGTGCACCATCTACAGCCCAATAGCAAAACGTATACCAAGTCCCAGACATACCCGTCCACCCAAACGCGAGAAACGGCTGCGAACGTAATTTTCGTCTTCCCTTACAAAACCTCCGCGCACGGGATATACATCCCTACCCGGAGGTAACAATATGTAGGAGGTAGATATATGATCTTAGGAGGTAACGTTTCATGAAGTTCGTCATGTGCAAAAACTTAATGTTGTTCATAGACCTGAGATGTATACTGACATCATGATAGGGGCAAACGCACTTAATTTCACAACTAGAGTTCCACGATCTCATACCTTCGCCAAATGATGTTAGCCTTTACGACTACAGAAAATATAATATCTTAATCCCCCCTGATTATGCAAATATGGACCTAAATTGCATGTTGATCATATTCTACACCAAAATTATCTTATCTTAACACAGAATTCCATTATAGCATTTCCTACTAAATTATGAAAATCAGGCCCTTATTTGAATAACTTATGCTTAATTATGTTCACCTTCACTTAACTTTCAATACGTTCATGCCTATGAGAATGTCAGGTAAGCTAGTATTTTTCCCAGGAACTGTGGCCATCTCACAATGCAGGCTGTATGAATTCATTAATTTAACTCACTTTTCAAGACTATACTAGCCTGTAAGCTTTCCGTTGCCATGGAAGAACATTTCCTTAGCAACGGTTGCCATAGAAACAGACCCGCAAATTTCATGTGTACTTAATGTGTTCCTAAGTTTTACATCAGATTTTTCAATGCTGCTACATTACCTTGACTATCTGTTAGGCCATGTTGATTTGATTATATGGATGACATCCTCCGGGAGCCCCAAAAATGATGCGCGCGTGCGAATAAAAAAAAAACTTTGCAAAAAAAAAAGTTCTTTTCATTATGAAATCTACGTGGTCATGAGGGTTCAGCAAATGGCACAGAATATGGTTTGGCGAATAATCTAGTCTTCAAGTTCATTTCTTTACAATTTCGTCTTTTTTCGTTTGATTTTGGCATTCTACGACATTGGTATAGTTTTTTATTAATTTTTTTTGTAACTTATGGTATATTTTTGCTCATTTTGCAACTGTTTTGTACGATTTACAGTATGGTTGAAAACTTTCTTTTTTGAAACGGCCAAAATTCATGCGCGCGCGGATGTCATCCATAT